CAGTAACAGAATTTTTTACAGTAAATCACTATAGAAATCACGAACATTCCAATACAAAACTAACATAACCATATCTAAATCACTTGTATCACCACAATAGTGAGTAAGTACAGTAACAGAAGTTTTTACAGCAAATCATAAATATCGATAGTTGTAGCTCTTAATTATTATTATATTTATTATTTTTTAATATTAAGGTTTAAAAGAAAAGAATTTTGCAATTGGGCAAGTGATAATCACGACATTGATCAACTAATTCAACAAATACAACTTAATGCAAAAATGCTTAAAAACATTATTGAATGGATACCATTTAGCAAATTCGCAAATATAAAGTATCTTGCTAAAGGAGGCTTTGGCACTGTTTTCAAGGCAGTATGGATTGATGGATACATTATAGGACTTGATCAGAAGAATGAATGGAAGAGAAGGCCGCAGATCGATGTTTGCTTAAAAAGTCTTGATAATTCTAAAGATATAAAACAAGAATTTTTAGAAGAAGTAATCATCATAATTTATTATTAAATGTATAGTAAATCTTATTTATCCTAATTAATATTTTTTTTTTAGGTTAAAAATCAACATGAACATGGGGGTAATTCGGCAATTGCGATTTATGGAATAACCAAGAACCCAAAAGACGGTAACTACATGATGGTTATGGAGTATGCAAAGCAGGGAAGTCTCAGAAAATTGTTAGATAGTAAATATGGTGAATTAAATTGGGCTTCTAAAGTAGCTAACTTATATTACATAGCTAGTGGGCTTAATACAATTCACGAAGCCAATTTAGTGCATAAAGATTTTCATTCCGGCAATATAGTTAATCAAAATATGTACAGTTCTTACATCACTGATTTTGGCTTATGTAGGCCAGTATCAAAAGACTCAAATTCGAAGGAACTTTTTGGTGTGATTCCATATATTGCTCCAGAAGTATTATACACAAATGGAAAGGAATATACTAAAAAATCAGATATTTATTCTTTCGGAATAATTATGTCGGAAGTTTTTACTGGATATCCTCCATATCATGATATCCCACACAATGAAGATCTAACAATGCGTATTTGTCTAGGTTATAGACCCAAAATTAGATGCGAAGTTCCTCAACTACTTTTAGATCTGATGAATAAATGCGTAGATGCAGAATCTCAAAACCGACCAACTGCTAAAGAATTATCTGATACACTGTATTGTTTTTTTGAATATTTGAAAAATGAAGAAACTGAATTTTACAAGCAAGTTAAAAATATTAAAAATCTAGACAAAAACTTCTTAACATATGATCAAGTTAAATATCAGACACATCCACAAGCTATTTATACAAGTCGATTTTTGAATCTTCCGAAACTCCCTAAACCAGGTAATAACATTTATTTGTTTTTTTTTTAAAAAATAAACAGCAATATGTTATTAATTGTAAAAATTTCTGAATCTGTCAATATAGTAAATGCGGGTAACAATATTTATTTTCTTAAATTGGATTTAAAGTATAGGTTTAGTATATTTATATGTATGTATTTTACAGAAATAAGTCAACCTATTGATTTTGAAATCCCCGATGGTAAGTAATATATCCGATTTATTATAATTAAACAAATTTATTACTCATTTGTATATTGGTATTTTAGATCAATAAATCAAGTAAATGAAATTTGTTATTGCCATACTACAATAATTCCGTAATCAATGATATGCTTTATATACGTATCTAAAGTCAAAATTAGTTGGCTTAATCTATAGTTAGTGTTAGATATTGTTAGTGAGTTCTACTAAATTCATATTTATTATATAAAATTTTTATTTAACTGCATACTAAAACAATAAATAATATTATACTTTCTAAATCATTGTTATTGTTGTCGTTGATAGCCTTATTGGTGCTGAATTGAACCCTGCAAAAAAAATTATTAGCACTTCGATCTATAATAACAATATGTCTGACCATTTTAAAGTTCAATAAAATTCAGACGAACCATTTTAAATTTATCATTACACATTAAAATAATTTAGCTGAAAAGTATTTTTTAATATATGTATGTTTAGATTAGATTAACAAGTCTGATAGATAACATGGGGATTGACTAAGTTAACACATTAAGTCAGATATTCTATTGATTACATATCGATATCGATATAGCATTTCTGAAATCTGTGACAGGTTAGTCAATCACCTGCCTGACTTAGCATCCCAGTGGCATAAAATTGACCCAATTTACGTATACGTATGATAATCAATCATGGCATCAATTTAACGATTGATTATTAATCAAAAAAGGAAATTTTTAAAAATGTTAATTATCGTTAATATTTCCCTTTCTTGAACCAATAATTAACAATTTTTCTTTGACATTATAACGTTAAAGCTCATTTAATATATAAGTAATTAAAAACATATAGTCGAATTGGTTCTTTCCTTTTAATTAAAACATAGTATTTTTTTTTTAACTCTGTAAATTTTTTTATTGTTTGAAATAACAACATATAATAAAAAATATGGAAGATAAACCTACAGATAATATTCAAATATTTTCATGAAATTCTTTACCAGAAGTCTTAAAAGCAGTTCTTCCTAAAAAATACACATATCAGCTTCAAAAATTTAATAGTCTGTCACCTTATCATACATCAGAAAATTTTGAAGTTCCAAATTTCGAATTAGATGTATTTATAAATATTAACAGCAAAGAGAAAGCATCAGAATGGATTAATGAATTTCAGTCTCATTTAAAGACTACAATGCCAAAAATGAGATGTTATACAATAAAGAGAAATAGAGTTTTTTTTAGAGAAAAGCAGCATTGCATTCATAGTCATGAAGTGAAAAAGAAACAAGGAAATATCAAAATAAAAAGACCACATTCATTTTGTATACATGATATATTTTATAAAGTAACAATTAACTTACATTTAGAAAGCTGATGACTCTTACTTGATTACCTCTTAGAAATTAATATAAAGTATATTCATAACCATATTATTAATTCAGTAGAATCATTGAGCTTTCACCCTGTTAAAGATGAAGTTCGAGATGAATTTTTAAATTTATTTAAAGATGGGCATTCTTCTTCCACAGAATTATACACTTACCAAGATAATCTTTATATTAATACCACTAATGAATAAAAGTTAATTGAATTGCTTGCAGATTAGGCTTTTAACCCAGACTATGACTATGTTGCAAAGCTTTATCAAAAGTACCATGTCAATATGCTTGAAAGTCATAATGGCAAACCAATGTTTGAATGTTTGGCAGAAGTAGTTAAAGAATATAATAGTTCAGAAAAGAGAAAGGCTATTTTATAAGAATATAATGTATATACTAAAAATGTATTTATTTTGTGTATTGTGTTCATGAAAAAGTATAACAAGCAGGTGAATTATGTTATTTAGATGCATCTGCATCATTTGAGTCACTTAATACCTCAGTCATACTTGTATACACTAGCTATGCAATTGGTGCCCTCCTGTTTGAAATTTTTATAATTTTAGATAAACTTGAAATAATATTTAAAAAGGCATTAAACTTATTGAAAACTATTTTTCTGTTATATGCTTTTTATGGTAATGGTCTACAAATAAGGTCTACAGTATTTCTTACAGACGATTCTAGTGCAATATGAAATGCTTTAGAATTATGCTATCCAAAATCAATTCATCTTTTATATACCTTCCATATGCTGCAGACATTTTGGGGATGGTTTATGATTCCAAATATAAGGTTAAAAAAGAATATCGTATATGTTTTATAACAAAAATAAAGAAAATTTTATATGCTAAATTGAAGTTAGAAATGGAATCATATTATCATGAGTTTAACCAAGAATTTTATTATAATTATCCTTGTTTACAAAAATATTTTGAACTTATGTGGGAATGTTGTCATTTTTAGACATTTTCGTTTCACTTAAACTTGCTAATTTGTGAAAATAATACCAATAACTATGTTGAATGTGGCTTTGAAATACTAAAAGATATTATATTTTTTAGAACACAAGCATACAATTTTGTTCAAGTATTCCAGTTTATTACTACAAATATGGAAAGATTCTACAAACATCATTTACTTGGTTTTGCAAACATGTATTTTGATTATTTATAATTTGCTAAGTGATTTTTATGTCTGGATGGGAGAAAGGTAAATATAGATCAGATTCAAAAGACAAATATTGAAAATAAATATCTAGTACCTAGCATAAAACAAGATACAAACATTTTTTATATTATAACAGTGAAATCAATACATATTCTTGTTTTGTTGAAATAAATAATGGTTTGTATAAACATCAAAAAACTGTCTCAATGAAATTTCACATTTTAATATTTAATTTTATTATATCATTAATGCCAATTGACTATGCAAATTACACTTATATTACACTTAGTTATGTTGTCCATAATAATTCGTTCTATGCCTTACTTCATGTACAATATGTTTTACAAGAAAATTTAAATACTAGAGAAATGGAATTATCAAACAACATTTCGAATATTAATCATGAAACAAAAATAACAAGTAATATTTCAAGTATTGAGTAGAAAGAGACAAATGAAAAACATAATGATATTGATATTTCAATATTTATTACATTTTTAGAAGAAGTTAAATTAGATTATCAAAATGCTGGTGAACAGTTACATGTCACATTTGATAAGTTCAAAGAACGTTATAATGTTGTCAAATCAAAATCTATTTCTCGATTATCCTCTTATTTATATGATCTAAATTATAATATGGATCCAATAACTCATGTTAAAAGTGGTGCACAAATTAGAGTTTAAGTAGAATCAGTTAAAAGACGTAAAGTGAAAGATGATACTAGAAAATGAAAATTCCCTGCTTCTATGAACAAAGAAAAAGAAAATACAGATCCTCAAACTATTCCTGCCTGTAAAAAGAAAAAGACAGGTAAAAAAGTTCATAGCTTAAGTGCAAATATATCAAATAATCAGCTAAACTGAAGTATGAATATAATGGTTAAAATATATACTATCAGGTCAAATAATTTGCTAAAGCTGTGCAAAAAAGCTTATAAAGAAAGCTCAAACATTATACAGTATCATATATTACTGCAAAAATTCGAACACTAAAGTATTTAGTTATATATAGCGATAATAAATATAATGGTAAATTGAAATTAATGTATATTATGCAATATTAATATTAATAAAAAAATTTCGGTATAGTCAAATTGACTGACGGTCCGAAATAGTACGTCATGTTATCAGATAGCCTGTCACAGATTTCAGAGGTGCATCGATATATATGAAGTCAAGTAAAAGATTCGCATACGGTAGTCAAATTTTTCAAATTTTGGTGTATTTTACAAATACGCCGTAATGTAAAGTATGATGTCCTTAAATAGTTATAAGAATTAAATTTTAAATGTGTCTAGTAAAGTGATACCGAAACATAGAATAAAACAATGTTTCGAAAATAATAAATTATTTGCATTGTATTAACCATACTTGTGACGATATAAATTAGCCAATCATGTCTTTCTATAATACATGGTATAAGTATAGTTGGTGATAGAATTCATTTGGCAAATTAATTCGGTTATGGCATGTGCTGTATTATTTACCGTAATTTCTTTGAGCCGTAATATCGTAACTGTAATGCTGTAGTGCCATAACTGTAATGCCGCTATGTCAAAATCAGGGGTACCGAAAATTTAATTGCAATTAAATTATACCAGGAACGGAGTTTGTACAACGTACAACGTAGGTATGGTTTATAGGCATCTGAAATGGTGTG